AGCAGCTGTTCACAGGTGTCAGCTCTGCTCAGCGGCCGGTGGGCCCAGGGTGAGCTGCAGAGGCCCTGTCCCTCGTCCCGTAAAGGGACTCTGGGCAGGCACTGTCGGGGCGGACCCTCGGGACTGCACGCTCAGGGCAGCTGCAGCCGGGCGGGGACCTGACTTCCTCTCACGAGGAGATGACACCTGAGGGGCTGACCTTCCAGCGGCTCTGGGCTGCGGAGTGCTGGTACACGCGCGGGTTTGCACTGGGGCTCGGCACGCACCCCTGCGGTGTCCGCAGTCCCTGGCGCACATAGCGGCCGTCGCTTCAATGAGCAAACCAAGCGTGTTTTTGTCAACCGAGGAGATGGGCTGCGTCTCTAAGATTCCATAATTCTAGCTGCTCCTACAGCAACAGCGGGAGCAGTGGGCTAAGCGTTATGTAAGCTTCACCTTATTCAGTGCTTGCAGCAAACTGTGGAGTGGGTTCAACCCTTACTTCCACTTTGCAGACGGGGAAAACAAGGATCAGAGAGGGGAAGTGACTTTCCCAAGGTTGCTCAGCGAGGAAGCAGCTTCCCAGGTCTTCAGTGGCAAGCGCTGTGCCCCCCTCCGTGGGGGGCTCTGGGCCAGACGGGATAGAAACAAAACTCCTGAGTGGACCCCTGTGTCCTGACTCTGATGATGCCATCATCTCCCAGCCCCAGAGGGGGCCCTTGAGGTGGGGGCAGGCTCCCTTCATTGGTTGTGGTCCAGAGGAAGGCGGAGTGTTTTGCCAGAAGCTTGCCCTCTGGCTGCACAGCCGACTCATCTTCTCAACTCTTGACTCCCGTCCTCAGCGGAGGAGCAAAAGGTATTTATTTTCCATGTTGTGTTAAAGTCATCCGCATGGGAGCCTCACAGATGGAGATAAAATGTTTACCATTTGGAGCGGAATTCCAACTGGAGCAAAAAGCACTGGAAGCGAAGGATGTTGCGGGGGAGCGGGGGAGGTCTCCGAAGCAAACAGCTGCTGCCCAGCTGTGGCCGTGGGAGAGGGGACTCGGCCCTGAAGCTGGGCCAGGGCTGCTCGGTCCCCCGCTGGCCGGGCTGGGCTTTCTGGGACGTCGTGGGGGCTGGGCTGGGGCGCCTCTGTCTGCCTGCCTGCCCAGGCCCCAGGCCTCCTCCCCGGGCCCTTCCCCCCGAGCTGCGAGCCTTGGGCCTGCTGGCATCCTGCCCGTGGGTGCTGTCCAGCCCTCCCTCCCCCTTTACCCAGCCTCCTCCCTGTCCCTCCGTGGCCTCAACGTGACCGGCTGGGCTCTGCTCCCCTTGGGTCCTGCCACCGGTGGAGATGCCCAAAGAGGCCTGGGACACGGTGGAGGGGAAGAAGGCCCAGCTGAAAAGCCCTGAGAACTCTGACCCAGGCCTTCCTCATCTGGGGATACTGAGGACCGTGGGCAGGGATCGCCAAGACCCCTGCGGAGTGGAGGGCCGCATCCAGGCCCAGCCTCGAGGCTGTCTGTTCCCACGCCTCCACCTCTCACTGTTTTTGACTCTGGCTTTCCAGAAGGGACGTCAGTTGTAATGCACGAGGTGGTCATGGCTGAACTGGGGATAATTATGGACAACGATTTCCGTATCAATGGAGCAGTGGACTCTAATCTGCTGCCCGCTCCCTGCTGGCTCTTCTCCTGGGACTGGGGAGTCATGCGTGGTGGGAAGGGCGGACCAGTTGTCTGGATGTTGCAGAAAAGTGCGTTATAGCTCAGTGCTACAACAACCTGGATCCGGGTGAGAGACCAAGCAGCGCTCAGAGTTGGAGAACTCAGGTTTATTACACCAGCAGGCCTAGGGGAGCTAACACTCCAAGCTCTGGACCCCGTTTGTAAGTTTACACAGGCCTTTATAGGCTGCCAGTCTACACTTTGCAACATCATATGCAAATGAGGTATAACAAAAGTTGACTAATTAGGAACAAGCTTTGTAGAAACGGACCAATCAGGAGGGAGAAATAACCAATCGGGAGTGAGCTCCATGCAAATGAAGCACTACAAATAGACCAATCAGGAGTTAGCTCAGGGAACCAATAGAATTTTAGGGATAAGTTCCACTTTCCTAGAAGTAAGCTGTTTCAGAGGCAAAGAGTGAGATAAAGCCGCTGGGCCAGGGAACTGGATGGTGCAGGCAGGAGGGTAGTGGCCCTGCCTGGGGGTCCTGCCGGTCTGTTTTATGGGGCTTCCCGCCTCATGGAGAGTGAGCCCCGAGCTCCCTGCCATTGGGCCAGGCCACTCCCTCTAGGGCCCCCTACGGCAGCCCCCGGTGGCCTCCCCTCACCACTTGTGAGGACCCTGGGTTGGTCTAGGGGTGGCTCTGGGGTGGCAGGTCCTGGAACCTCCCTGGGTGGAAGGACCCAAGGACGTGGACACGGGAGACGTTTGTTAATACCTTATTCGTAGTCCCCGGGAACTGAGGCCGCCACACCTCGCTCCGGCCCTGTCCCCACAGTGACCTCCACTCTGGCCTTCAGTGACCCAGCGACCCACACCTCACCTGCAGGACAAGCCCCCTATTGATTCGCTGGTTCAACTAGAGGGAAAAATCCCCCTGAACCTCTGCCAAGGGTGTGGGGAGCACGTCCGGGCGGCTCCAGAGCCGGAACCCAGAGGAGGGGGACGCTCCCGCCCTTTATGGCTTGCTTCAGAGGACTTCCTGGAAATGGCCTCATTGGGGTGCAATGTTCCGTGCAGGGAGAGGGGCTGCTTGGCCCACCTGGCTGGGCTCCCGCAGTCGGGAGGGGCTGCAGCTCTGCTTGGGAGGGAAAAGCCCCTTGTCTGGAATCTGCCGTGCCTGTGGCCGCCCTGGGCTCCTTTCCAGGACCCTGGCACCTCCCTGTGGTCTCCAGGGTGGTGACGGTCTGCTCAGGATGCGGCGGGGTCACCAGATCTGCCTGTTTGACAGAACCGCTCGCCCTGCTGGGTCTACCCTACAATTTGCCGTTAGTCAGAGTGCTTAGGTAAGCGGAATCGGCCTCAAACTTTTTCCAAGGATGATGCAAATCATTTCAAGAAAGAAACTGTTACCCAGAACAGCCCACTCCCACCGTGATCAGAATAGCACCGGCAGCCAGGAGGTGGCTTCCGCCACGCCTGGTTCTGTGCCAGGCTACACCTGCTGTGTGGCCTCGGGCAGTGACTCACCCTCTCTGTGCCTCTGTTTCCTTGTGCATATCACGAGGAGGATGAGGGCGCCTACTTCACAGGGAAGCATCTAGAGCTGCACCCATGGCTCGTGCCCACGTGTCGGGGCAACAGCCCTGCTGTTTGCAGTGTTTTTGCCTTTACAAGCAAGGGGGCTGGAAACACTTTCCTGTGTGTATCTTGGCCGATTCTGTAAAAGTAAGTCAAGTCGCTGCGGAGGACTTCCTGGCTGAGAGGCTGAAGGTGCATTTTAAGTGTTGATTGGAACGGCCAGATTGTCCTCCAGCAGGGACACCCATCAGCATCGCCCCCCAGCATCAGGCCTGCCTCTTCCCCCAGACCATCACCAATACTGGGTACTGAAAAACATGAACATCCTGCCGAGATCATAGTTCAAAATAGCTTGAGGTGGGTTTCACAGCTCTTCATACAATTTCTGACTTGTATGAGCTCTTGGTTTACTGGAGAACTGAGCCTTGGTCTACCCCGTAGCAAGTTGTGTTTTGTTTTTTTGCGAAGTCACCTTTGAATTTGCATGTGAATGTGAGATACTTACAGATGAATGTGTGCATGTGCACGCACACACGACGCACATACACGTGGTAGCATTTATAGCGTCTGTGTGTTGTACAGGCATGTACACGTGTATGTGCATGTGCTTTGCAGGACCTCCAAATTTTATGTATTCAAATCAATCAGTGTTCTCCGGTATAACTTTTTTGGGGTACTTTCAAGAATGGCCTTTTTTTGCTCCAAGATTGTGTGGTAAGTCCATATGTGGGTTTCCCCCTGCTTTTTATGGTTTTATTTTTCATGTTTAAAACTCTGTCCTTCTGGAACAACTGGTGAAAAGAGAGAGTAGGAATTCGGGTCTTCCTGAAGCTTTGTTCCTCCAAGTGACTGGTCATTTGCCCCACCATAATTTACAGGACAGCCCATCTCCTCCCTCCCATTCATCACAGTCTCAGGTCCCATGTGTCCTTCTGGGGTTACTTCTGGATTTGCTCGTTTCCACGGATGGGTTTAAACCTCCAGAACTGAGCTGTTTTAAATGTGGTGGCTTTAATGTTGCAGAGGTCTGCTTTGGTGACTTCAGCAGTGAGGCAGAATGTTCTGGTCTGTCCTCATGAATTCATTACTTTATTTGAACTGAAAAATCATTTGTTACATGCCCACCAGCACCACCGCCGAGGACACTGTTGGTATTTGCATTAGGATTCAGTTGAATTAATAGACGATTTTATGGCAAACGACTTCCTTATGTTCAACCTGCCTCCTGTCCACAAGGACTTTCCTCTTTTCTGTCTTACTTTCTGTCACTCGGTTGCAAGGCTCTCTTCGTTTGGACCCTGTGCAGATTCTGCTAAATAGACTTAGTTATTTGGGCATCTTTTTAGTGTTTTGTGAACAGATTCTGCTCTTCCCTCACATGTTCTTGCTGCCTTTGTTTCTTTACAAGAAAGCGGTCAATTGATCTGGGGAGCCGGCCCCTGGGCGGGGTGGACACCAGGCCCGAGCAGCTCTCCGGCACCTCTGCTCTGAGTTTTCTGCCCTCTCTGCAGAGAACGGCGTTTGGGTGGGGTGTCCACGCTCCAGATGAAAGCAGGGTGTTTGAAGTTGGAAGGACAGCTTATCTTTTGAATCCAAGACCAGCTTCCTGCTTCATATCATTAAAAAATGTAGAAAGTGGGGGCAGGGAAAGGAAAGGATCACCCTGCACTGGCCCATCTGCGGGGAGGCGCTTGTAATTACACAGCCTTTAATAACTGAGATTCCTCTGCCAGCTCACTGAAGGCAGCCTGCGAATACCAGCGGCGTGAGTCACACGTGTGTGCCATTCAGTGAGGCTGGGCTGGGAGCAAAGCGAGGCCGCCATCCCACCCGGAGGGGCCGCCGAGGCTGGGCCCTCCACCCCAGGGCTCCCACCCAGCAGGTTTCTCCTTCAAACAGCAAGCTAATTTTCTTCTCTTTTTACAGAAAGGCCTGGGGATGGGGGAGGGTGTAGCTCAGTGGTAGAGTGTGTGCTTAGCATGCCCAAGGTCCTGGGTTCAATCCCCAGTACCTCCTTAAACAAAATAAATGTTACTGGTGGCTGGGGCTCTGGAGATAGGTGAAGGGGCTGTGGTAGGAGGGGCCCACGGGTTTCCAGGGGGGCGGTCACATCTGCAGCAGCCGGGACCTGGATGCCAACGCCTGGCCACATACTCCATGGTCATTCACTGAGCAATGCTTTTTTGGTTTCTGCACTTTTCTGTAATGCACATCCCATTAAAAAAAAAGTTTCAAAGAACTTCCAGGGTACATTTTACTAAAATTCATTGTTCTGAGCTGGAAAGTCTAAACTGGGGAACATCTGGATTTTCCAGTTCTCAGGAAATTACAGGCCGAGCTCGGGACACCAAGGACACGGCCGCCACATGCAGCAAAGACGGAGCGGAGAGGGAAAGCGTTTCTCCCAGGCCTGGCCCAGCGGCGGGGCCGTTTCTTTTCCTGGAAAAGTCCCCGAAGATTATTTTTAGTGTCTGAAACTCATCTTTCTCTCCTAAATTTGAACTAAATGTTGCAAGGAAGCATGTGTGGGTCCCATCCCCCGCCCCAGGACTGAGGCTCAGCTGAAGTCACGGAGCAGCGTCTGTGGCCTCTGCCAGCGAGAAGTCAGACTCCCTCGTGCTTTCAGCTGGTTGAAATTTCCTTCTGATGAACCAGTGCTGCGGTGGTTTGGCCCGATGTCAGAGCCCAGACACACGGCCAGCGCAGTCCCACGCCCCTTCTGCCTCTGGGAGGCTTTCAAGCGGAACGACCCCGAGGTTCGACCTGTGGGGACCCTCCTGCGGGCAGCAGCTCGGAGGCTGGGCAGTCCACACCTTCTCGGGTTGCAGGGAGAGCGGTCCAGCCCATCCATCACGTTCCCCGCAGACCGGGAAGAGGTCTGGCTGACGGAGCAAAGAGCACCGTGCGCTCCTTCTGGTGGGCTCTGCATTCTTTCCTAGTGAAGTATTGTGCATGGAAAACCAGAATATATGGGCAGCATTCTTCCTATAAACAGAGCAATTGTACATTGTGGAGGAATTGCTTAGCGATGACTGGGGAGGTTGCCATGGTTACCCTTCCCCCGCCCATGCGGTCCTGGCGGCTGCCTACGTGGAACTGGGCAGTTCGGTACCCGACCCACATGTGGCTGCAGAAGCCCCGCCGTCTTGCAATTCCGTTTCCGGCGGGGACCTCGCGAGAGCAGGGCCGTCATTCTGTGCCCACATGTTTTTGACTTTCCTCGGCCACAGGAAGTCCCATGTGGACATCCAGGAGGTGAGCGGGACCGAGGTGGGTGCTCAAGGGGAGCAGCCCCCTCGCCCTCAGCCTCTGAGGCCCCGCCCCATGGGGCTCTGGGACCCCCTGTTTGAAAGCTGCAGACCCTGGGCATCCGCACAGAGGCCCCCCGTGCCCCAGGCTGCACTTGAGATGGTCCACCTCCGGCCCGTCTAGATCCACGCAGGCCGGAGCCCACTCCAGCCTGAGGCTGCTGGTGTGGACACGGAACCGCTTCTCCCCAGTCTTCAGGAGAACCCCAGGTGTTTTCCTGGAGGAATCTGGGCCTGGCTCTCTCCCTTTCTGCAAATCCCAGGCCAGAATCCCACATGCACACGGGGAGCCAGCCCTCGTTTACGTGCAGCTAACGCCCCAGCCCCCTCCGGAAGGGAGTCAACAGTCAACCCCATGATTTTTTGGTGCCACTAATTAAACACACACTCACCCCGGGACAGGCTCCCGCTGCCGTCCTGCCCCTGCCTGCTGGAGGGAGGGTCGGGGGACTCTCAGGGACAGCGGGTCACCAAGCGCCCCACACCTCTCCGCCAGTGCAGGGGCAGGCGGAGCCCCGGGCCCCCCGCCCCACGTCTGGTCGTGGAACCACCGGGGCCGGGGCCGCGCTTCTTCCTGGAGGGTGGAATCTCTGGAAGCCTCGGAAAGGCAGAATTATGTGCAGATGGTTTGGGGGAGCTTTTGGGAGCAAGGCCTGAAATAGCGAGGAGCACGGGCCTGGGCAGAGGGCGGGCTGGGCTGTGGTGCTTCCGGATGGCGCTCTGCAGCGGGACGGCAGCCGAGGGGAGGCCCCGAGCCTCTGTACTCTGTGTGATGAGTCAGGGGACGCAGGGGGCCCGGGGAGGGGTGACCTTGCACAGCGGTCTCCTCTGGTCCAGAGCAGCTGCCGGGGAGATGCAGCTGCAGCTGCAGCACGGGGTTGAGCACCAGGCTTGAGGTCCAGCGTCCACTCCAGTCACCCTGGGGCCGCAATGCCTGCTCACTTCACGAGATCCACACCCCACCTGGAAAATCAGCTCCTCCCGGGCTGGGGGTGAGCCCCTTCCCGGGGACACTTGACAGAACAGTTCGGGGGCCAGCACGGCATGCATCCCCCTCATCCCACTGCCGCTCATAGAACAGGAACCTGCTGGTCACCGCTCTGTCTCCCCACCTCCCAACCTTGATCCCTCCCAGCCTTGACTACAGCCCCGGCCCAGGCGTAGGTCTGGAGGGGATCCCCCGAGGGCCCAGAGCCCAGGTCACCACACACACACACACACACACACACACACACACACACGGTGGGGGTGTGCCCGGAGCTGGCTCATCCTGGGTCCCTCCCTGCCCCCACTGTGGGACCGTGCACTCCAGGCCTCCCTGGCCCCCCCGCGGGGCCGTGAGTCCTGGTTAACAGGCCAGTCACCTGCTGGTGGGACCACTTCCCTCCCGACCTGCGGCTCTCTGGGTGCACGGAGCCTGGCGTTACCAGGAGGTGGTCGACGGGGACGTTGTGGGGAGCTCTTACTGCCCCTGGAGAAAGTTTCTCTCTGGGACCCTGGAGTTAACGTGCCTAGGAAGACAAGCTCCCCACTTAATCCCTGGGAGTGCTGGTGGCAGGGACCCCACCGCACTCCCCTTGGCTCTTAGACTTGTATTGGCCATCTTGGGAACAGGTCGCTGGCCAGGGTGTCTGCTGTATCCTGGAGGGGCCCGTCCTCACGCTCACAAGGTGTCATCTCCAAGCTGTCCCCTCGGCTGCATCTTGAAAAGGCCCCTCCGTGGCTCCACCAGGCCACCGCTCTGGGGCGCCGTGGCGTGGGCTCCGGCAGAGTGCCGGAGCCGCGGACTGGCCTGCCGGAGCTGACGGCGCGCCCTCCCGGCTCTGAGTCAGAGACAGCGCGCTGGGAGCTTGCAATCCAGCGAGGTGGGAATAGTTATGCCGTGGAAATCAGCAAAGGCTTCGGGGGGGCTGTCCTGCCTCCAGTGCCCCGAGCTGGTTGTTGACCACTTACTGGCACGGAACTCCAGCGCCCACAATCTCGCTCCCTGCGCTGGGCGTGCGCATGCAAGCGTGCGTGGATGTGTGCACCATATACATGTACGTTACTGTCTTCCGCCCTCACTGCAGCCCCGTATGTGATACAGGCATCCTGTCCCTCTACTGACGGGGACAGCCGGGTGCAGAGAGCCCAAGGGACTCCGCAGGGTCACGCAGGAGCCAGGTGTGTCCGACTCCCCACTGTGCCTTCTTAGACCCCCACTGCCCTGGGTGTGTCGGCTCTGCCCCCCACCGGCCGAGACCCAGTCTGTCGCTGGTGCTCACTCACTCCCGGCCGCGGGGGCAGTGGCGTCCATTCTTCCGTAAGTCCCTCCTTGCCGGACGGTTCTGCCGGCCTCTCCGAGGGTGAGTGACGGCAAGCAGAGCCTCCAAACTGCTTGGGCACCCACTGACTTCCCCGGGCAGCGGAATCCATGGAATCCCCGAGTGTCCCAGGCCAGCCCCGTAGGAGGGAGCCCGGGCCCTACCGAGCGTTTCTGCCCGGGAGTCCGGCCCGCCCGGCCGGCAGGAGCCACTGTGCCGGCCGGGGCTGGGGTGGGCACGGCGCGCAGAGGACGGGGCTCTGGTCCCCGAGAGGAACTGAGGGCCGTCGCTGAGAGTCCTTGGGGGTGGTTTGCAGGAGAAAGCCAGACTCCCAGGCCTGTATGGTGCTGAAATCAATAGGAGTTCGTAGTACGCACACTTAGCAAGCCAGGGACACCAAAACTAATTCTTAAAATATTCCGTAAAAAGCACTGAGGTAGTCACTGGGGAGAAAGTGAAGGTTTTATTGGACTTCTTCCCCTTATGTTAGTGTACGTGATTGTTTTGTTTAGAACTGCAGCCTGGGGCCGGGGGCAGAGGCGGGCGAGGCGCTGCCCTCTGCAGCGCCGGGCCCCTGAAGGCCTTGCTCAGGCCGTGGGGGCTGGCCTGGGCTGCCAGAGCTGGGGGGCTCCCTCTGACTCTCCCGGGGGCCTCGTGGGGACCCCC